AATAGCCTTGGCTGGGCCTGAGTTTACAATCCTTTCATCTCAGTCTCCAAGTGTACTGGGAATATAGGTGTGTACCACCATGTTACGATATGCATAAATATTTAGGATTGTTATGCTTGATTGATAAAATTTACCCTGTGGCAACATCTCTTGCCTAATACAAACATATTTTGGAGATAAAATGCATGGTCTTGGCACTGAGCTATATCCCAAGCTGTTTCTTTGGTCATGAAGTGGCTTCTGTAGTTTGTGACTGATTACTGTGGGTGTAGATGCTGCATCTGCCCTGGACAGGTAATCTGCATTACACTGTGAGGAGGGTGGAGAGGCTGGCTGCTGCCTGACCTGCTGACATGCTCTTTGCTCTCTGCTCTGCCACCCCCATGAAAGGCTGCCCTCTGCCCCGTGCCGCTCTGCCTTGGAGTCAGCTGAGTATAGACTGAACCCTCCAGAAACTGTGAGCTACTTAAACCTTTCCTTCCTCCATTTTGGGTGTTAGATATTTGTCCCAGCAATGACAAAAAAGTAACTGGGACAATGTATTTTTATGATAAGCTTTTTATTATACATAGGATTTTTATTTTGCACTGCTATAACAATTTCATTATAGACCAAGGGAGAAAAAAGAAAAACAGGGTAAAAATCATCACATTGTGTAATTACTAAAGCTTTTTCTACTTTTTAATAGGATCCTCCATCCAGTAGATGTATTGTCATATCCACTTCAAAACAGACAAGATGCTAACCATATCTTAAAGATTATACATTGCCACTGAAAGAAAAATTTCACAGTCACCGTATATCAAGGTTGAGAAACTGTCCTGCATGGAAAATATACTAAGAAATAATGTGAATAAGAGAAAACATCATTATGTTTAAGGAAAGACTGAGTCCTCATGACGCACCATCTAGACATAGATATTCATTATTCCTGGAGTAGCTCAGACTCAGAGTTTTCTCGCTTCTGCCCTCCCCATTCATTAATCTGTTTTTATGCAACAGTATTCATTAAGGCAAACAAGTCCTTTTCTAAAGAGTTCTTAAGGAAACTGTGGACAAATAGCAAACTTTTGGCATTAAAACAGTATATATTAATATATACTATTAGTATATATTAAGCATATTTTTCTTGGACTAGTGACAAGAAAACATGAACATGCTTGTTTAACAATGTCAAAAAGTTTGAAATTCAGTCCAAGCAACTCCTAACAATGCTTCTGCAGCTTTAAGCTCTAAATAGTAGAGAATTTAGACAAATGCATTAAAGAATGCAAGCTTGGCAAATTACACCCAAGCAGGTTATTAAACTATATATACAGAAAGTAAATGATAAATACAGAATTAAAAGAGACCTTTTGCTTTTCCTTATAGCCTTGAAAACTGACAACTTTTTGAGGACAGTTCTATAATACTAAACATTAGGTAACCACAGGTACTGGGAAACCTAACTACACAAACATTTAAAATATTCAAGATGACTTTGTAGTGTTTAATACAATTCAGCTTGTAGTTAAGGGCACTAGACAACATTTAACAAAAATAATCACATCAGTTGACCTAGAAATCAAATGCAAATAGGTATGAATATACTCCCCAAAATCTGTCTTTTTAAGTGAACATTAACCATTTATTCAAAGTTATACAAGAACTTAAAGGATTAAAGTCTTCTGTGACATAAAGCCATTTCAAACAGTTTCATGTCTCAGTGGAGCAAGAGCAGAGAGGGTGTAATAATAAGTGAGTAGCCCCACTTGGGCAGTTAGACACTTAAAAGAGACTCAACAGCAGCCTCCCCCAGCCTGCTGTCCTCCCTGATTGCCTGCATGTGTCACATTCGTAGCAGCATGCTGGGGGCCAATTTTAATGTTATTGCCTCATTATTAATGCCAAAGACACATTCTTGAATTTTTTCATGTATTTCTTTTGCTGCACTAATAAATACCTCTTCTACATTGGAAGCAGTCTTAGCAGAAGTTTCCGTGAAGATAAGGCCATGTTCTCATGCAAAAGCTTCACCTTCTTCTTTTTTTACTTCTCTTATAGATTCTAAATCACTTTTATTTCCAATAAGCATAATGACCATGTTGGAACTGGAATGCTGGCGGGCATCCTCTAACCAGGTTGTCAAGTGGTTAAATGTATCTCTTCTTGTAATACCATATACTAGCAAAGCCCCAGCAGCACCTCTGTAATAAGATCTGGTGATAGAACAAAAGGACTCTTGACCAAAAAAAAAAAAAAAAAAAAAAAGGACTCTTGTCCTGCAGTGTCCCAGATCTGGAGTTTTATCTGTTTTCCATCAGTTGTGATCATTCGAGCACCGAACTCTCCTCCAATAGTGAGGTCATGCCCTGGCTGAAACCTCTTGTCACTAAACTGTAGCAGTAAACATGATTTATCAGCACCTGTGTCGCCGATGATAACATACCTAAAAAGACAGGCGTACGCCATGGCCCTGTGTCACTGGTGGTAACCTACCTAAAAAGGCATACGCCATGGCCCTGGTTGCTCATGCTGATAAACTATTTTGAATACTTTATATTTACCCCAAATTTTAAATAAGACAGAGAATTCTCTCACACTTTCCAATCAATTTCCATTTTTGTCACAATCTTATATTAATGTAGTACAATTTAGCAGCCAGTATTGTTGCATCATGATAAACCAAAGTTTATATTTCATTCCAATATTACTGGTTGGTTTTTACCTACTCTCCTTTCTTAAGACCATGTGCCATGCTAGTTATTGCATTCCATTTAGTCTTTATGTCCCCTTCAATTCCCAGTTGTACAGTTTGTCACATTTTCCTAACTTTTACTGGCCTTCATAGTTTTGAAGAGCACAGATATCGCTGATATGAATCATTCAATGTTTTTCTTCTTATTATTCAGGTATTATTCACATTAAGAAAGATAATGTTTTTCCTATACATAAATTTTATTTTTATCTTTATTTCTTCTATTTCTCCTATTATGTTTGTGATTCTTTATGCCTTCTTCTTTTTTTTTTTTTTTTTTTTTTTT